TGGTCTAGAACAAGGGTCACCAACCTTTTGGACCTCAGGGAGCACCAAACTCATAATTTTAAATCCTAGGGACCGCTAACCGGTTCTGTGGGCGTGGCCTAAGTTGTGGGTGTGGCTTGGTGGTCATGTGACTGTCTGGGCTTGGTTTGTATGTAAATATTATAAATATTTATATAAATAATGATTTTTTTGTTTAAAAAGAACAATTTTTATTCAAAATCAGGCAAAGCAGGCAGGCAGATTGAATTGCTCACAGAATCACCAATTCTTTCAATGATCTATCTATCTGCAATTGACTAGCTCAGTCTGTCACATAAAATTTGCTTGCCGGGAGTCTGCACTGAATAATAGAACCTTCAGTCCTATGGGAGGTTCAGCTGTGCTTAAAAGCAGAGCCGAAGATCTAAAGACTAGCTAGAAAGCAAGAAATCCAACCATTTCCTGCTTCCTAGCTAATGTAAATCTCCCAGCACAGCAGAACAGCTGATGGTCGGAAAGAAAAAAAATAGCAATTTAGCAGGCAAATTTACCGGCCTTGTATTTCTAAGCAGCCTGGATTAATTGCTTTGCGGGGTGGGTGTTCTGGAGGTGACATTTCTCTGCGGCCCACCAAAATTTTCTCGAAGCCCACCAGTGGGCCGCAGCCCATTGGTTGGCGGCTGCTGGTCTAGAAGACCTCCAAGGTCCCTTCTAGCCCTAGGATTCTGTGATTCAGGAGGGCCTCGGAGGAAGTTCTCTTCCTTGTTCATCACCCGGTATATCCTAATACATAGAATCCTCTCTCTGAGAAGTACACCTGGGGATTTCTCCTTGGGCTACCTTCACAACAACAACCCTGTAAGGTAGGCCAGGCTGTGAAAATGCAACTACCCCAAACTCCCAGGGAGCTCCTTAACTGAGCAGAGAGCTCAGCATGGATCTCTCCCGGGTCAGAAGCTCAAAATGTCCTCTTCTAACCTTTGCCCTTTTTCCTGGAGGTTGATCCTGACCTTTTGAAACACAAGGATGTCCCAAACCTCCATGAGCACCGCATGGTCTCCCTCCTCTCTTCCTTGCCTTGGGAAGTTGTGGGAGCTTCATTATTGGAGGCTTTCAAGAAGAGACTGGACTGCCATTTGTCAGAAATGGTGTAGGGTCTCCTGCTTGGGTGAGGGGTTGGACTAGATGACCTACAAGGTCCCTTCCGACTCTGTTAATCTGAATTTGAAAGGGCCTCTGGCTAGAAGTGACTGCATCCTTCTCAATGAAGCTCCAGTATGGGAACAGTTCCCCCAGGACAGGGACAGAGCAGGTTTTGGGGGAACACTGGCACCCCAAAAACTCAATAGAACTCAATGGTTCTCAAGCATTGGTTCTCAATAATTCTCAAGCATTTTGGAAATGCTGCCTTATAACACTAGAGTAGCCCCAACCCCTGAAATGCCTAATTTTCTTGAGACATGAAGGAGAGAGATGTTCACACACACACACACACACACACACACACACACACACACACACTTACATGCATGTACTCACATACACACACATATATATATACACACACACACATATATATTTGCCCCTGAATATACTTTTTAATCAAGACTTTGCTGCTCACTTTGTGACATGCAACCTCTCCACAGGTTTCTTTGCCAGAATTACCACCAGCATGGCAAACTACCTGAGCTGCATCACCAGCAAATCAACCGACTAGCAAAATCTTCAATAAGGCGCAATAAGGAGCATCATGGCTTATTTTGAACAAAACACGGTTCTGGAGATGATCCAAATTTTCAAAGCATGTCTGTCCACTGCAAATTATAGTGACCATCAGATTTCACCCGAATTTCAATGTTCAAATCAAGAGTGAACTGGGGACATCCACCCCGGGGAAGGCAAGCAACGTCCCCTGGGAACTGTGGCCGAGCCCCCTAAGGACTCGACTTTTCAGGAAGTGCCGGCCACAGGTTCTGCTCTCTGGCACCGACTTCCTGAAAAGATACCCCTTTCCCCCGCTCCCCCTCCAAGACTGAGACACCCAGCTTGGCCCCAGCCCACCAGGCTGCCTGGAGCCTCCTCTGGCCTCCACTAATGGTGGGAAAGGAAGTTCCCCAGCAGTCACTGCCATGCCTTGGACTGCAGATTCCATCATGCTCAGCTGGAAAGTTGTCCTCTTATAGATGCAGAAGGCATTGGGGGGCAGAGAGCTCCTTCCTTCAGCTGTATCTGCTGACCTGGAGAAAGACCCAATGGCCGGTTCTTGCTCTCCCCATATTTTTAGGAAAATCTTTATGGGATGGCTCTCTAGTAAAAGAGTTCCAATATTTGAGAGGCTGCCCCAGAGAGGAGGGGTCAAGTTATTTTCCAAAGGCCAGACAAGGAATTAAGCTGGAAATAAGGAGAAACTTTCTGATAGGGAGAACAATCAACCCATGGAACAGAAGTTGCCTTCAGAAGTTGTGGGAGCTTCATCCCTGGAGGCTTTCAAGAAGAAACTGGACAGTCATTTGTCAGGAATGGTGCAGGGTCTCCTGCTTAGGCGGATGGGTTGGACTAGATGACCTACAAGGTCCCTTCCAACTCTGTCTCCCATCCAGATAGGAAACAGGCTTGGTCCGGCTTGGGGGCCCTGAGGGAGCGGCCATCTCCCACAGGGGCCACTTACTATTTCGGCTCCCCACAAGCAGGAAGTGGGTTTCTTCCCTTCCCAATGTGGCTCTACCTGGCATGCATGGAACAGGTGTGCCTCTGTCTGCCCTTCAGCCTGGGCTCAACAGGAGCACCCTCAAATCCCGAGTATCTCGCGAGAATGGCCTGCAGGCTGAATTCACACGTTCTGGGTCTGAAGGAAAGACCTCCTACCCCTTGCCCTCAACCCAGGCTGAGCCCCGTCTTCCCCTCGCCCCTTCTGGGTTTCCTTCCGAGGGGCCTTCCAAACCCTCCACAGATGGGCATCCAAAGGCAACAGGTCCTGTTCTAGGGGGGAAGGGCCAGGGGTGCAAGGTTAAGCGCTGCTTGTCCTACAGGTCTCCGGTGCTCGCAAAGATACAGCAGCTGAAGCATCCACTCTGAAAAGAGTTGGCTGGCAGCCCAGAACTCCTCCTTCTTCCTGTCTCCTGCCCCACAACACAGAACCACACGCCCACCCCAAAGCCAGAGTGTCACTGGGGCAGGATGGACTTATAGGGAAAAAAGAGCAGGAGAGAAACAGGAGCGGCCATTGCAGCAAAGGAGGTGAGGCACCCAGACAGACAGACAGACAGACAGAGTACAAAGCAACCCACAAGCTCCATGCAGCACTCAGGGCAGGGCAGCCACTGGATCAGTACTGGGAAAGTGTTTTTCAGGCGTGGCAGCTTTCAATGAGTGGACTTCAACTCCCAGAATTTCCCAGCTTGGGGGATTCTGGGAGTTGGAAGTCCACTCATCTTAAAAGTTGCCACGCTTGAGGTACGCTGGTCTAGGAGGTCCCCTCCTCCGTCCCGTGTCCTGGCATCTAGGGCACCTGCCCACCCCACCAGGGGCTACCAGCTATCTCAGTGCTTCACCGTCCAGACTGCCTCTCAGTTTAGCTCCAAGGAGGCCCAACCGGCTGGCAGAAATGTCCCCCAGTGGGCCTTGCATGTTGCATTGGCAAAGGAGGCCTCTGCTCTTCCCAGGACACTCCTGAGGTTTAAAACTGGGACAGTGACCCCCTTCAGCTGGAGGCTGAGCCCCAGCTCTTGTCTCAAGCAAGGCAGGGAAGTCCAAAACTAAGGCTGAAACCTCCCCAATTCTTTTTTTCTCCCAGACCCGAAAGACAGCCAAATGGTCTCCATCGTTCACCACCAGGGATTATTAGAAACGCAGGCTCTCCAAAGGCTCTGCTACCAACTTGGCACGGGTTCAGCAGCGGCCTCCAGCTGCCCTGGCCGGGCTCCCATCGTCCTCAACCAGCAGCCTTTTCTCCAGAACTCCCTAGCCAAGAAGGCCGCCGCTGGGGATTCTAGGCATTGGAACTGGCGCACCTGAAGGGAGGCTGGAGAAAGCAGGTCTCCAAGATGGGACCTCGGTACTCCAGCTTGCCTGGAGGAGGGCTGGAAAGGGCCAACCAAGCAGGGACCCCTCTTCTGAAGAACCAGTGGGGGTCAGTGAAGGCCTGCCGGGAGGAGAGAGGAGAGAGGCCTGGCCGGAGGAGCAATGGCCGAGAGGAAGGCACCAGGCTGGAGAGGCTGTCCTGGGAAGGGTGCCCGCCTCCTGTGCCAAGCCTTGCTTTGCTGGCCAAGCGGTCTCACACTTGCAGCGCTCCAAAGGGAGAGCTGGCCCCCTCGTCCCAGCTGCAGGCAGAGAGCCGGAGCCCCTCCTCCGCGCTGCCTCCAGCCCTGGCACCCGCGGCCTCTATGCCCCTCGCTCTGCCCTGCCACCCCGGGCCTCGCCAGCCTCCAGCCGGCCTCCCCTCTTGGTGGCAGCCAACGCGGCACAATCGGGGGCAGCTCCGTGGGGGAGGGGGGTTGGAAGGCCGGGCATCCACCTGTTCCGAGGGCGCCTTCTCACTCCCAGCCCCGATGCCAGCCTGCCGCCCGGAGGGGGTGGAGCAGCAGCCGCGGGAGCCGCGCGTAACGCTGCCTTGCGTTTCCCTCCGCCGGGCCCGCCGCGCCAAGGGGGCCCCGGGGGTGGAAGCGCCGCCCCGGGCACGTTCCGGCCAGAGCCCGAAGAGCCCAGGCGGCGGCAAGAAGGAAACGGAGGCTCGCCGGGCAGCGGCACCGGACGTCTAGCTGGCTCCGGGCTGGAGCCGGCGGCGGCGTCGCGGGACTCCCCCAGCCGGAGCTCCGGGGCTCGCGAGCAGGACGAGGCGGAGCCGCCCGCTCTCCCTCCCCGGCCCCAGGCTCTCCCGTCCGAGGGGGCCTCCTCATCCCTGCCCGCCCCGCGCGGGACTGCCTTCGCCCCGCCTGGCATCCTCGGCCGCCCGCAATGCCCCCGCGGCCCTCCCGCCCTTCCTCCCGCCGCCGCTGCCGCCGCCGCCGCCGCCGCGCACTCACTGGCTTTGCCCGGCTTGGGCCTCTGCAGCAGCTTCTGCACCGCGCCGACGTCCTCCGCCTTCACCGCCTGGATCAGCTCCTGGTCCTTGCCCATGGCGAGCGGCGGCGGCTGGGCTGGGCTGGGCTGCGGGGCTGGCCCGGGCGGGGTCCTCAGGGCCGGCTCATGCCCGGCCGCGCCCCAGCCGGCGGGGAGCGGGGCTGCGGGACGGGGCGGCGGCGGCGGCGGCGGCTCCTTTGCTGCAGCGGCTGCCGCGGTCGCGACGCGCAATGGAGACGCGCGGCCGGGGCGCAGCGCCTCGCCGGCGGGCGGGGACAACTCGGCGGCCGGGCTGCGGCGGGGGCTCGCTCAGCACAGCCACCGCCGCCTCCTCCCTCTCCGCCTCCTCCTCCTCCTCTGCGGCGGCGGCGGCGGCGGCGGCGTCCTCACTCCTGCCGGCGGCTCGGGCCGAGCCGGCTCCCCGCCGCCGCCGCCGCCAAGAGCCTCGCCGGAGCCGGCGACGAGCCCTCCATGGCCGGGCGCGCCGGAGCTGCGCCTGGCTCGCCTCTGCCGCGCTGCCGCCGCTGTCCTGCTGGGGCGTCGCTCGGCGAGGAGGCGGCTCCCGCTCGGCGCGGTTCGGGCGGGGGGCGCCGGGGGAGCCCCCTCCCCGGAAGGCCCAAGCCCGGGCATCGCGGGAGCCGGGCGAGGGCGCCTCTACGGGCGTGCAGAGCGCTCGGCGCGCCTAAGCCGGCCAGGTCGGCGGACGCGCTCCGTGCCGGCGGGCGAAGGGCGGCCGGGTCCTGGCAGAGTCGGCGTCCGGGCAGCGAAGGGCTTGGCGGCGGCTCCTTCATGCCGGACCCCGAGCGAGGCGCAGAGCGGCACCTGTCCGGCGCCCCGAAGCTCTGGGGTGGCGGGTGGGGGGCGGCCGGCAGGCGAGGTGCAACCGCGGGGCCTCCGAGCGCGCCGGACGAAGTGGGGGGGAAGCATCCCGGGACCGCCTGGAGGGGAGCGAAAGGGCGGGCGGGAGCTGCGGGGGGGTTTGCACGGGGAGGCGATTCCTGCAAGCGGGTGGCTTCCGAAGGGAGGACCCGGGACCACTGGCGGCCCCCTCGGCGGCTGTCTGCCGTCTCCTCCGAGGAAATCGGCCCAGCTTCTTCGGAGGCGACCGGGGACAGCCGCCGAGGGGGCCCCCAGGTCCAAATCGCTCCGTCCTGACCCCAGACCTTCCCCTCGGATACTCCCAAGCGCAGCAGCCCCTGCTGAGCCGGCGGCTGCCCGGTGGGGTCCCACAGCCTGCAAAACCCTCCCGAGTGGGTGGCCCGTCACTTGGGGCCCTCGCATTTGGCACACCCCCTGCACGCTCCCAGCTATTGGTGTCTGGGCGGATGTAAACCTTGTTTAAAACAAGCCGTGGTTTAGGGACTGCAGGCCTCCTGGCTGTCTTTGGGGAACCGTCCAGTCAACTTGCACTGAGCCCAGGCAGGACCTTTAGCGTCCCCCCTGCAAGGGACAAGGTGGTCTTGTGGTCCCTCTCTCTCGCCACCTTTGGCAAATGAATGCCAAGACCGACATCTTAAAAGCAAAAATATCAGACGGAGGCACTTTTTCCCAATTAGCGCATCTTATTAAAAGACAGAAGCTCTGCTGAGCTGATGCCTTTGCTCCCATTTGAGAAAGGGACTCAAAGAGTTCTCCAATATTTTGCTGCCATGACTGACATGCTGCTCCTCCTATAATATCTGGAAATTGAGGCAGGAAGGCAGGCAGTGCGCGGAGAGGCCTTCTCTGTGGTGTAAGACACCCCCCCCCCCCATTCCAGACAGGTAATCCTGGATTTACAACCATTCGTTTATTGACCAATGTTAACAACAGGACTGAAAAAAGTGATGGCTTTTCACACTGTTGCAGCACCTCTGTGCTCATGTGATCAAAATTCAGAGCCTTGGCATATTTATGACAGTTGCTGTGTCCCTGGGGTCATGTGATCACCTTTTGCGACCTTCTGACATGCACAGTCAATGGGGAAGCCAGATTAACTTGACAATAGAATAGGTTCTGCTTCAGTAGGGGGCTGGACTAGAAGACCTCCAACATCCCTTCAAGTTCATTCTATTCTATTTTATTCTAGTCTATTCTAGTCTAGTGTACCATGTTATTAACTTGAAAAATGCAGTGATCCACTTAACAACTGTGGCAAGGGTCATAAAATGGGGCAAAACTCACTTAATGCCTGTCTCATTCAGCAACAGAATTTTTGGGTTCAAGATTTGTGGTTGTACGTAGAGGACTTCCTGTATATAGATGACATAATGTAGGACGGAGCGTCTTTTATCTAGCCAATTATTTCCTTTGCATAAAACCAGATTCCAGAGTTGCTGGAGGGGAAAAAGAAAGGCACTTTTTGGAAGAATATTAAGGAAACCTGTCCAAGATGAGGCCGGTGAGTTTGGTGCAAATCAGCTACCCTTGAGATACCACCCTTGAGTGCAAAAGAGGAATTAAAAAACAATTAAAAAATAAAAAAGAGCTAGAAAGCCGACCCATTTCACGCACTGCCAAGCAGATTTATTTTTTTCTGTTTTGCCTACCAGTTCTTATTCCTATTCTAAAATTTGAATTTGTTTTCAGAGTTCTTTTCAGAGAAGTGAAGGCTGGTGGGTGGGATATTTTTTGCAACTTCTCCAATGCTGAGACAACCAAAGGCTGAGGTGAGGGTCCCACCTTCTCTGCAATTGCCTGTAGCCTGGCTGAGGAGCCTGATCCAGGAGGGGCAGGGGAGCGAGCCTTGCCCTGGGAAAAGGATTAGAGAGTAGTTCTCCCCCAGTCATCATCATCATCTTCATTTAATGACCCCATCATCCCTTGTGGAGTGGAGTCTGAATGGAGCTAGTTTTAATGGCCGGATGCCCTTCCTGTCACCAATGCCGAGTTTTGTTCAGCAGATCAAAAATCCTGCCTAGGATTGAACTTACAGACTTCTGATTGTGAGGCAAGAGCTCCACCTCTAGGTCACCGGAACATTCCCCCTGGTTTCAAGTTCACGAAGAGGAAAGTGCAGCCTTTCTCAGATTTGTCCAACTAGTGGTTCATCCTCAAACCGTTTGAAGATCTCCTTGTCACTTGTTGAATAGGTGGGATACGCACCCAGGACAGGCCTCAACGCCTTGGCACCGCCCATTGCCCTGCCCTGCTTTCTCCAAAGGCATCCCCAAGAGCAGATGAGGCTTGGAAGGAAGGGCCCAACCCTAACCCATCAGGGTCCAGGGAGGTGTGAGTAAGAGGCTGAGCAAGGAACGAGGCTAAACAAGGCTCCGCCTCAGGAAATTCACCATCACATGCGAGAACAAACATCTCTCTCTCTCTCTCTTATTTGGCACATAAAAGAACACAGAGGCTTCACAAATATGCTCCCAGGGTCTTGACAGACCAATGAATGAATAATTCACCCTCCTCATATTCAGTTAAAACCCTCCTCCCAAATTATTTATTTTATTTCACCTTTCTTCCTTTCCTTTCCTGTCTTTTCTTTTGTGATGGACACAGTAACCTACATCTAAAGAAATAAAAGTATATTAAAAGGGGCTTGATACAACCAGGACTTAGCTTGGATTTAAGAGGGAGGATTCTTCCAGTTGGTTTTACTTTCTTTTCTCTCTCCCTCCCCCTCACACCACTGTCCACAGGCACCCTCACAAAAAAGTGCGTGCAACTAATTAATTACACAGGATGAGAGGCCGATTGGTGTGGCGGTGAAGGCATCGGGCTAGAAACCAGGAGGCCTGAGTTGGGCACAAAGCCAGCTGGGTGTCCTTGGGCCAGTCACCTCCCTTCCAGCCTTGTGGAAACCTCTTCTGGAAAACCTTGCCAAAAAGAATTGCAGAGATTTCTCCAGTCTCCAAGAGTGAGGCCTGACTGAACGGAAGAAAAAAAAAAATAGACCACAGGATGCCCCTTTGACCGGAAGGCCAAGAGACTGGGTTAGGGCCGCCATTTTGGGTATTGGAACCCCTGTGGTCACCTGGGCAGAGATTCTCAGGGCCGTTCCCCAACCCCACCCATCCTCTCTGCCCTCCCGTTTCCCGTTACCTTTTATTTCCGCTTTCAAGGAGAGTACTGGGGGGGAATCCCAGAGGATTCCTTGGAAGGAAAGATGAGGCTGGCGGTTTATTTATTTTTCATCAAAAGAATATTTTAAACAATATTTAATTGGGAGAGCGGGAGTGGGAGAGGAAAGCTGGCGAATGCTATGGGGCCCGCTCTTTAATGGCAGCAGCCAGGCAGTTTTCCGCTGTGCGAGAGGATACTGATGGGAATAAGACGAACTATAATACATAATTAAAAAAACAAACAAATATATCAGTAATCATAAATAAATATAAAGCCGCTTGTAAGTCATATGCTGCTTTGTTGAGTCTCTACATTGGCAACAGTGAATACTGTGCAGTCTCCGTGAAGGGAAAAAGCATCTCGACTCACCTGTAAACATACACCTGAAAAAAAATTCTCCTAGGAACATTACTGGACACTTATTACCTAGTTACTAGGAGTTTTCAGAAGTTGTTCCCCAGGGTCGGTGTCTCTGGAGATTCTCAGTCATCCAAGTTATGGTTGTCTCAAGGATGCTTTCTTACAAAAGGCAACTGGATTTTCTTGCTTTGCTTGAAGACCTTTCGCTTCTCATCCAAGAAGCTTCTTCAGTTCTGATTGAACGTTGAAGAATGGAAGGCTTTGCAGAAAAATTTCAGGCTACAGGATTCACATGACCCTGAGGGCATGGATAAACCCCCCAAATGGCCTCAATCATTCTCAGAAAGAGTCTTAATGACCAGATGACTGCAAGATTTATGTTCTTGTGCCATATCTGCAGGGGTGGGCTTCAAAAAAAATTAGCAACTGGTTCTCTGTCCCAATCCTGGGTGGGTGTGGCTATAGTGGGCGTGGCCTAGTCAGCCTCCTGCACCTTGGCAGGGGGGAGCGTTTTCGCCGTCCCTGGACTCCGGAGGCTTCCCTCGAGCCTCCAGGAGGGCGAAAACAGCCTCCCGTTTTTCACCCTCCCTGAGCTTCTGCATGGGCCCTCTGCTTACCTGGGATCCATAATGGGCTACGTGGAGACTCCT